AGAGAACACATTCCACAATAAAGCTGCCAACCACATAGGGTACATGTATTACCTTCGCACGCCGGAGCCAGAGGGTCCAAACGGTCATTTTGAACATATTGTAAAAAGTTGACCTGGGAGTTCTAGACTTTGTTTTTATAGGCTGTGGTCACTATAATAGGCGAGCGAAGTGAGCCCACCTGGTCGTCTGAATGCGGAATATTTTATTTATATGTTCTGTGCTGATGTTGTACGTGATTCTAAATACGAGCGAAAATCGCAGAAAAATTGAACTGCTCTCTTCGCTTGCCACACAGCAAGTTGTCCGAAGACTCTTCCAAGGTGATCCTGAACACAGTTTGCTCACAATACAAACAAAGTGTTCAAAACGCACAGACATACATAAGTACTACATGTCATCACTATGCACGTACCTGCGAAGAGAAGAAAGTTTGATTTCCTTGCTGGTGAGTATGGCCAGTGTGTCCTGTAGGACTGGAATACTAGACTCGTCCAACTGGATTACCTTGTCCACCACTCCTCCCAACACCTGTACGTGTACCACGAGAGAGAGAGAGAGACAGACATTGTGATGTAATTATTGTTGCATGGTATTAACTGTTGGGAGACAAGAAAGACACTGAACGACATTGAATTTGCTAATCTGGCATATTTCATGATGTCTTGAAACACCGTTGTGCCATTGTGTGCAACTATTTTCTTAACACAGTGGCATATTAATGTTACTACAACCGTGTGGTGTAAATTTGCGGAAACCTCGGCAACAAATGCGTGTGGATGTGGAATACAGTACCACATGCAGCTTCAATGTATGGGCATGATTTTTGGCCTGAACTAACAGTGCCACGTATTAAGAGAGTAGAATGGTCACTTTACTCAGTCGTGCTGTAACCAATCCACTCCTACGAGATATCAAAATGATCCTCAATCATTGCTGATTAATCTGATAAGGGTCCCGTGATGTCATGTGTTAGTCACGTGACAGTATCAAGTAGTAGCTTTCTCGTACTTGCTGGTTTCATAATTGCCTTTGCTCATGAATTTAACTATGACTAGCACATAATAATAGCATAGCTTTTTATGCTTGTATACATACAAAAGGACAATATTTTATACGTAAGAGTAAAAAGAGCAATTAATACTACATACTATGCACAGCGTTGTGTACAACAACAGTATCAACAGTATCAGTAGCAACAGTGTCAACAGTATCAACAGTATCAGTGGCAACAGTGTCAACAGTATCAGTAGCAACAGTGTCAACAGTATCAACAGTATCAGTAGCAACAGTGTCAACGGTATCAACAGTACCAGTAGCAACAGTGTCAATAGTATCAACAGTATCAACAGTAGTATCAGTAGTAACAGTATCAGTGTACAAGAGTATCAACACACAAGTGATCTCAAGCCATCACACAGTTGCATAGGGATCTCTGCTCTTGCACTTCACAGCCGCACATATCACTCCTGTAGTAATAGTAAATACACCACCTACAATTGTCACTACAGCAGCTGCTATCCCAATGATTTCGCCAGGAGGCGTTTTGTCATCTTCATTATCTTCCTCATCATCACCTTTATCGGTACCGGTTTCATCAGTAGAGTCGTTGCTGTTTTGTAATAATATCATTGGAGGGACATTCTTTTCCATCAGCAATCACATGAGAGCACTCCAACTGAAGCAAACATTTGTCAATCTCCACACCGTTTTCGTCTGCTTCAACAACACGTAGTCGAATGGTGCAGTGACCGTCGGTCATCCTCACTTTCGATGATGACGGCGTATTCACTGTTCGAATAACGTTCCAGTTGTTTCCAGATTTGGACTCCGCGTATGTCGTAACGTCGGCCAACAAGGTATCGTTTAAAAAGACCCTTATTTCGTCTCTGGGGCCATCATTGGTGTAAGAAATACTCATCAGCTGCAGAGAGCAGTATTATTTGTTAGACTGAGTGGAAATCCAAATCATGAACGAGGTCCTCGCTCTGAAACAAGCGCACAGTGAGCTCTCCTGAGGCATTACTCCGCTGTCTCACGTCCCTCCTTTCCCATTCTCTGCTTCCAGTGTCACAGTACACGTGTACTGACTGGCCACTCGGCAGCCACAATGCAACTACACACCACTATTCGACTGACCACACCATTCAGAGCGTTTTTCGCCAACAGGAGAGTGAATAGCCCTTATTGTGGCTATCATCATTTCAACACAATTTTACGTGGTTACGTAAGTACTAATGGGGCATGAATTTGTTAAAGGCCCATTAATCTCTATTTTCAATATCCAACACATGTACACAAACTAGGGCTTAAGGTTAATCTCATTCATTGTATGACGTAAAGGTCTGTTGTTTAACTTCAACCCTCTTTCAATAATGTGTGACACCTTCTTGCAGTAAACAACTGAAATGAGACCCACCAGAGAGCAGTGTGCACTATTAACTTGTCATGCGGTCCATTCTCTCACACTCAAGAAATTCAGATGGTCTTTTTCTTATTCTGATTGTGATGTCATCTCTTGTTCATTATCCAGAATGTGGCAAAAGGCACTCTTTTGTAACCTAAAGTCTGCAAAAACTAACTTTAATTCTATGTACGTACATACATCTTGAGCACACTCAATGTACTAGACTCTGTGGTAGTCAATCTCAGGGCTCAAGCAAGTATGCAGTAGTTGAGTGAGAGGTACACACACACTGGTATCATGCTAATTACCCTCGGCGCGCATGGCAGCGAGGGTACGGTAGTTGGGTGCGTGTGTGTCTGTCTGTCTGTTACTCTACATCTCACTTCTCGGATGTTTGTTCGTCTCACAAACAATACGACCTACTTAACGGGCAATGAAGGTCAGAAATTTCGAACGGTTTTCTCTGAAAATGCTCCGTTGCAAAGCTAGAGCGCGAAAAAGCCAATTGCAACACACAGCGGACGGGACGGCTTACCACAGTCTGATCGATTCGCGTGCTCTGCGTACCTCGGAGGCACCAGAAGATGCAACGCAGGGCCTCTCGCATGCTATCTAGTAGTGTAGTTAGCCCACGTCAGACTCTGCGCGAGCGGCAAGAGACCGCGGAGTCATCGATTAGTGGTACCGCGCATGCGTTTACTTACGCGTGCGCGTCACAATGCGCCGAGGGTTTGCACTTCAGTGCTTTTCATTTATGTGCAGTAGTCTCATACAATTACAATACGTCTCGATAACGTCGTCTAAAGTTCAAACATAATAATATTCCTAAAAAAACTAAGCAATCAGGAAACTTTTTAAAGCACTCAGCGACAAGGGTTATCGTAGAGGACTACGAAGCAGAAGTGTCTTTGAATCTTGCGTAACCATTACGTTGCCTGAACTTCTTTGCAGCAATAACGGAGCCCACAACTGCAACTATCACCACCACTACTCCGACTGCCACGCCCACGATTCCAACTATTTCGCCAACGGAGAGCTGAAAGCCTTTATTGTGGCCACTATCATCACTTTCAACACTTCTGTCACTGTTCAATTCACGACTGCGACGGTTGCGTGCAGAGGTTCCAGGTGGGCACCCATTGGAACATTCAAACTGCAGCGTACACACGTCTATCTCAACTCCATACAAATCCGAATCAACAACAGAGAGTCTTATCGCGTATTCTCCGTCATACATTGCCACATCAGACGGTGCCAGGCTTGCTGTGTGAAACACATTCCATTCGCGACCGTAATTTGACTTGGCGAAGGTCGTAACGGTACCGAGGGAGGTACGGTTTAAAAAGGCTTCGATTCTGTCGCTCTTACCGTCATTCGAATACCTGATAGAAAACGACTGGAGGGAACACGTATTATCGGTTGAACGGAAGTCCAAATCATCGTGAACTAGTTGATTATTGCGATACAGCAGGACCGTTAGTCGTCCTGATGCATTACTTCGAGACATGCGTCTGGCTCCGGGAGCTCTTCCATTCTCTGCCTCCAGTGACAGAGTACACGTGTATTGACTGGTAGCCCCGACAGCAAGGAAAACCAACACGAGTATCACACAAACCACTGGTGTCCTTATAAACATCTCGAACGATGAACAAAGTACGTAGTCTCTTAGCTGCTTCAAGGGAGATCCTGAGACTGCACAGTGGTAGAGGTTTTGAGTGGAGCAAGCTTTTATAGGCTAGATGGGCACAACTATGATTTTAATGAGTGCAGAGGTTTAACTGGATTTATTGTGTGGTGTGCTTACTAAAGTGCTTACTAAAGTACTTTAGGTAACTAAAGTGGTTTCGGTTTCTTATTACTATAATATTCATGAAGAACATTTTAAACCCATTAAACTCTCAGACATAAACAAGCATGGGGAGTTTATGTAGTTTCAACAGGTCAGGCTGACCCTGAGCAGCCTCATGTTGTTTGTCTAATATTAGGTCTTTGGCTGAAATTTCGAAGTCAGGTTATTGATTGTTTCACAAAAGGACCTGTCATCCACAGAATCTTTCCCTGGCTACAAAAACAAATCTGCTCTTTGCCAAGAGTAGGTGGCCCAAATGAAGGATCCCCTGCTGTGCAGTGACATTCTGTTACATACTGGTAGGAAGCTGGCTATCTGCAACAAATTGCCTTCCTGTGCTGATGAAGTCTAGTCTTTGAATTCCTGCTGTGCTGTACATCGCATCTCCTCCACTTTACCAAATTAGTTCTTTCTACATACCTCAGTTGAGCTATAGTAACAGCTAGCTTTATAGAATCATGTGAGATACTAGGAATTGACAATCGGTAAAACGTGGAGTCTATATCTTGCAGATCCAAGGTGGAAAATAAGTGTCCGGGCGATATTCTCACTTTCGATGATAATTCTAACCAAATGTCGTGCTTTCACTCTACTGCTCCTGTACTCTTTTAGTCTACGAACAGCAGGCAGCGGTACAGGAGTATGTACCTGTAATGACGGTGCAGAAGAGATCCGGAGGCTCTGCTTGAAAGATTTCGAGAGCCAACTGCAAGTCAGTCGCTTAAATACACCATTGCCACGTGCGTGATTTTGAATGTGTGATTTACCAATCGTGAGGCTGCAGTCTAAACTGGTACTCTGTTCATCCAATAAATCTTTTCATGCAGTGTCATGACTTACAGTTCTCCTATACTCTTGTGCCATTTTCAGTCTTATGGACATGTTAGTAGTGTAAACCTGCCCGTATACATGAGCATGTGCCCATTTAATTACCTACTTATCGATCGGGCCTACATGACCCTGAGTACAATACCACATTGATCTTTGTTAGTGAAACAGTGAGGTTTGAATGTTTGAGAAGGCAATGGGTATGCCATGTCCCTATGACTCGCGTTCACTCACCAAAAGTGTGCACTCATATTCAGTATGAATTTTTTATAGTGCATAAGCGCAGGCACCGATAGCTGTTGTTAATAATGTACACAATTCACCTGACATTTAGTAGTTGTTGTAAAAACCATTCTGTGTAGGTAATCCATACATATGCACATGTATGTATGTACACAATGATAATGAAAAGCACTAAAGTGCAAACCCTCGGTGAACTGGGCACAC